GCGCGCTGGGACGATGGCCGGGGCGCGGCCGGCGCGGGCCGAGTTCGCGACTCCGGAGTGGGCGCGCAGCTCTCGCACGGTGCTGGGGCGGTAAATGCTGCCGCAGCGGGGGGGCTGCGCCCGCGGGGGTAAGGAAAGGGGGGCGCGGCCTGCCCCCCCCCAACTCGCCCGCTCCTGCAGGTGGCCAGTGCCGAGTGGAGCGCCGCCGCACCTGCTCGCCACACTTTCCCAGAGCGGGGACCTGCGGAGCAGCGGGCTCCTTCTGGGGTCCGCACCAGCGTGGTGCCGCCACCGCCTGGGGGCATGGGGGCGGCTGTGGCTGTGAGCCCAGAGACCTGCGTGGCCTCGCCGGCTTCGGTCCGGTCTGCCTAGGAGCCGGCAGTGCTGTCCACTGGGGCCCGTGAAGCCCTCTGGGACCCTCCTGGCTGGGCCCCCGCTTGTTGGTTGGGCCCCATGGGTCCTGCAGGCCAGGCCGCCCTACCCCGCACCGTGCCCCCAGGGGGTTCACTTAACTGTGGGGCGAGGAGCCCCCTAAGTCCTGGAACCAGGGCTGTTGTACACTGCTGTGTCTTTCCTTGCTTTGGCACAGGAGGTGGGAATGTGGACTCCGAGTACGCAGAGGGCTGGGGACAAAGAAGCTCCAGTGTCCACTTGGTGCAGGTCCTGCCGGACCTTCTGAAGCTAGTTAGGCTGAGGAGATAGGACCAGGGATTCCAGAGTAGCTTCGATTTGGATGCACGTCGCAAAGGTGGCAGGGACCCAGGAGCCACTAGCCTTTAAGCAAGTCAGGATTCCGTTGGCTTCTGTCACCTCAGGTTGTCTGACTGTTAGGACAGTTCCAGACTAGACACCCCACGAGGGCTGTGTGAGCCCGTGCACTGCACAGCCCCAAATCTCAGCATTCAGCGCCAAGGGAGAAACCAAAGGGCGTGCCCGCCTCGGGAATGGGACGCCCCTCCCAGGGTCCACGGCTGAGACGCAGAATCGCTTTCTTTCAGTTTATGGTGGAAGGGCAACGTGTGCAGTGTCATCATGCCCTGCGGCTTTTCACTCCCCCCTTGACGTGTAAACAATTAAAACCCTCCCACCTTTGGAATAAATGTTTTTGGAGTAAAAAGGATTCGATTTACTTTTTTTCAAAGACTTATTTATGCACACGAACTGGGGTACAGGCCAGAGACGGGGCACGAGAGGACTCCCCAGAAACAGTGGGGAGCAGAACTGGTGGGTCCCCTGAAACCCACTGCCGAGGGGGCCGTGGGGGACAGCAGGGGTCTGCTGCGCCCTGGGGTCCCTCCCCGGCCGGCAGCCTCGTAGTGCCGCGCTCAGCCCTGTGCCACCAGGCTCGGCCCTGTGCCACCTGGGGCCGGGGCCTGGACGCGCCAGTCAGGAGCAGGAGTCCTCCCTCCAGCGCGGGGCGAGCCTCGCCTGGTCCCCGAGAGTCGGAAGTGGCTGGGCGCGGCTCACCGTGTCTCTGGGCCACAGGGAACTTGGATTTGGGGGCTTAAACTTCACGATGCGGCGACCGCCCCTTGGGAAACCTCGGCTGTTCCTCGGGCGAGGGGCAGCGTGGGGGCGGCGAGGAGCCTTGCGGCGCTGTACCGCGGTGGCTTCGCCGGAAGGTGCCCGCTTCTCAGACGCGCGGTCGCCCCGCTGGCACGCCCTGGGGGGGCAGGACTCTGATTCACGCCAGGGGTGTTTCTCGCCTCGCTGTCCGCTGTCCGTTACAGCCAAGATGGAGCGACCCCAAAGGCAGCGCGGCCGTGGGCCAGCAGTGCAAGGACGGCTGCACCCCGCGGGCGGGCGCTGCGCTCAGGCCCAGAGTGGGGACCGCTGGGCGCTTCCATGGGCCTGGCGCCCCCTTGCTCCCCTGGTGCGGGCTCACCACGCTGGGCTTGGGGAGCTGACCGCGATGGCACCCAGGTCAGGCCTAAAAGGGGGTTTTAAGCATTTGAAGCAACAAAATCCGCCTGGACTGCAGCTGTGCGGGGCCTCCCACGGCCTCTGACCTTGGCTGGACCCCGGGGTGAGGGGGAGCTGCCCAGGCCGCCCAGATGCCCGCTGGCCCGGTCGCTCACCGGCCGGTCCTCAGTGGTGCAGAGGCTGACACCAACACTCAGAGCAACAAAGGGGCGCATGGAGGAGCCGCGGTGGGGCGAGGGAGCTGCGGGGGTGGGGTGGCTCCTGAGCGCCGGCCTGGTAGGTGCTGAGGGCGGGGGCCTTTGATTATAGCACCCCAAAAGGCGTATGGGCGGGAGGGAAGGGGATGCAGGCACTCAAGGGGACAGAGGGCGGCGAGCGGCCCCCGGAACGGCAACCGCACGGTCAGCAGCCCCTTGAGAACGGGCCGGGCGGGCACCTCGCGACTCGGCGGAGCCTAAAGGTCGGGTGGGAGCCCACACGCCTGTCATTTTCCTGCCAAACCCCAGTCCTGGCGTTCATAGACAGAGAGGCGAGCCCGAGGCGTCCTTGCGTGTGCTGTGAATTTATGAGCCTGTCTTTGGCCGGGAGTGAGTGGGCAGCGTCCAGCAGCTGCCCTCCCGCTCCCTTCACCCCAGCTGCGGGCGCTGCTCGCCCTGGGCTGCTGTGAGGTCCGGGGGGAGGGTCCAGGGTGGGGCTGGTGTCCAGGGCGGGGCGGGCGTCCAGGCGCCTGCTGGGGATCTGCACGCCTTGAAGTGAAGAGCTCACCGGCTTCTGGGAAGCTTCCAGGTCACCCATCTAAAGGCACAAGATCTTCAGTCGCCAGCGACGGAGCCACTAGACAGAAAAGGCGGCGCCACAGCTGACGACACCATGGAAGCGGCCGCGCCGCGCCCAGCGCGCCTCAGTAGCAGCAGCGCCATCCTTATCTTCAGGGCACCGGAGGGCAGGGAGTGTGCGCCCGTGGGCACTCGGGTGTATCGGGACAAGGGGAGGGGTCACACGCCTCGCGGCCTCCCGGCGCCACCACCGCTCCTGTTCAGGGCAAACGGGACTCGGCAGGGGCTCGGAGCTGGGCTGCAGGTGGCTGGCCAGCAGCTTGGCAGGGACAGGGGAGGGCGGGGC